CTGAACAGAAAGAAACTGGTCAGAGTGGAAACTAATTTCTCACCATGTTTCTTTTTTCTCTGATACACTTTACACCAAGTTTAGTTTGAATGCTGGTTTAAACAGAAGAAAAATACTTTTTTCTTCAGACAAAACCATTATCTGCTTGTTATTTAGAACACTCAATGAAATTTATGTTGTGCTATGCTTTAGATGAACAGAGCAAAACGTGATTTAGTTTAGTTCATCAGCGTAATTATGAACTTCACCGGGACTTCTGGCATTTACTCAGGGGTTTACATTACACACTGTGATTAGATGCAAAAATCTGTACCTTAGTTATTCTCTACCCTGAAAGTCCTAGCCGTAGCTAAAACACAATGTTATTTTCTTTGATTTAGTTGGACAAATCAGTGCTTACAGCATTGGCCACAGAGGACCAAGTTCAGATGAACAAGAGTCTGGTGAAGCATTGGTGTAAATCTGCTGTTATGAAGGTAGAGAGTCAACTTTCTGGTCTTCTGTCTTGTTTGGTCAAATCTTTTACAATAAGTTTCTTTGTTTGTCCATAAATATGTAAAAGCTTATGATAATATTGTTTTAATACTGTGCCAGAACTGAACGTTGTATTTTTTGTCCCATTATTACTTGCCTAACTCTGTTATTGTTAACAGGAGAACCAAACATTGTGGGGAGCACAGAGTCTTTCAGAAAAAAAATATAAATGTACGTCTGCACAAATATGAGTTTCAGTGTTTTTCATAATTTTTCATGAAACAATCAGGCATGAACCTGTACTACAAAAGAAACAATGGAGAGGATTGTTTTTTTTTAACTTTTACAAAGATTTCTTAGAAAATATCTTTACATCTTGTAACTGTGTACAGCTTTAAATCCCATGTCTCCGTCTCTCTGTCAGGTAAGCATCTGTTTGCGAACTCCTCTCTGTCAGACTTGGCCATCGGTCTCATCCTGCTCGTCTGCTCCTTGTTAGTCCTCTGCGGCTGCCTCATGCTGCTGGTCAAACTGTTGAACTCCATGCTAAAGGGCCAAGTGTCAAATGTTATAAACAAAATCATTAACACAGGTAAACCACCAAGGTTTGTTGCTAATCAATGAGTCATTACACACAGAACTTATTAAAATAGTTTTGTGAAAAGTATGAGAGCTCAATCAAACATGTTATGACAGAGATAAAAGTGAACATTTCTGATTTCTTTCTCTTATTTTGTGCTGTCTTGCTTTTCAGATTCCCCCCCCCCTTTCACCTGGGTGACAGGTTATCTGGCTCTGTTAGCTGGGGCTGGCATGACATTTTTGGTTCAGAGTAGTTCTGTCTTCACATCTGCCCTTACACCACTCGTAGGTACAAAAAAAAAAGTTTTTTTAACGTTCTCATCCATCAAAATATACAATCATCCTTCAATCATGACAAACTGACAGTAGCTTTGTGGAATGCTGTGTGTTTGTTGGTGATTATATTTTAGTTGGTTAAAGATTTTATGAAATATGGTGTTAAATATTGCACTGTGGTTTGACAGGGGTTGGTGTGATTAGTCTGGAAAGGGTTTACCCTTTGACCCTGGGCTCCAACCTTGGAACCACAGGTACAGCTCTGTTAGCAGCCCTGGCTAGTCGTGCAGAAAAGTTAGCTGCTGCCACACAGGTAAAAAAAAAATCTGTTTTTGTCTCCATTCAGCCAGGTTTCATCTTTCAGAAATGATTTTCATGTTTTAGAACAGGAATGTTGCTTTTCTGTTTTTTAAAGTTTTTGTTTTGTTCTTTCCATTCTTAGTATTATTGTGACACTGTATACATGTTTTATGTATAGTTTAAGCTAGTTGGCTAGTCAAATATCATTGTGCTGATAACGAAGAATCTCAACTATGGATAATAGTTGAAAATTAATAAGTATAAACTCTGCATTGCACAATTGAATCTAATGTATTGGAACAAAGTCAATCTGAACAATCATTAAAATTCTATTCTATTCTATTCTATTCTATTCTATTCTATTCTATTCTATTCTATTCTATTCTATTCTATTCTATTCTATGCTTTCTTTTAGGTTGCCTTATGCCACTTTTTCTTTAACCTCTTTGGTATCCTCCTTTGGTATCCGATACCAGCCACTCGTTTACCCATACGAATGGCCTCTGCACTCGGAAAGTGCGCTGCCAGGTATACTTTTAAATATCTTATATTTCATTAAAGGCAAACCAAAAACCAACACATGGTTTTATTACAAATAACTAAAAGAAATGCTAAACAAATGAAACCTTCATAGGTACCGCTGGTTTGCTGTCCTCTACCTCGTCCTGTTTTTCCTGCTGTTCCCTTTGGTGGTGTTTGTTCTCTCCATGGCTGGCTGGAAGGTGTTGACTGGAATTGGTGTACCAGTCATAATATTGATTATATCTGTAGCAACGATAAACTTCCTCCAATCACGGAGACCTGAGTTTTTGCCGCCAAAACTGCAGAACTGGAACTTTCTTCCTGTTTGGCTCACTTCACTGCAGCCAATGGATGACCTCATTACCAGGGTGACTCTTTGGTGTAGACAAACCAGAGGTAGATATCCCCCTAATAGTACCTGACACAATTACATTTTTCTATTTGCTGATGATAATATGGTGTTCTAGACTGTCTAAGGAGAAACGACGGGCCAGACGCCACTGCAAGAGGAGAATGGAAGGAGAGCAAGGAATCACCAGAGACTGATGAAGGCCAAATAAACCAAAGAAAACAATATACACTGTGTTCCAAATTATTATGCAGACTGGATTTAAGTGTCATAAAGATTAACTTTTTTGTTGTGCTATTAAATTTGTAGATGGTGTTGTGTGTCAGGTCTCTTTGAATTCATCCATTTTCTATACACCCTTTTCCCTTGGTGGGGTCAGGAGGGTTGCTGGTGCCTCTCCAGCCAATGTTCTGGATGAAGGGCAGGGTCACCCTGGACAGGTCATTGGTCTGTTGCAGGACAAACAACCATGTACACCAGTCATGTGTTTGGACTGTGGGAGAGCTGCTGAGAGAGAACCCACCATTCTCAGGCTGGGAATTGAACCCAGAACCTTCTTGCTGCAGGGCAACAGCTCTACCAACTGCACCACTGTGCAGCCACACTCTTTAAATCACTATAATTAATTTCAGAGACCTGGGTTGATTAGTTTGGTGAGCTCAAATAAAATAAATCTACTTAGCAAGGATGTTCCACATTACTAAGCAGGCCACAGGTTTCAAGTGATATTGGAAAGAGAGCGAATCTCTCTTCTGATGAAAATCATCAGATAGTGTCGCGCCATATGACAAGGCATGAAAACATTAGATATTTAACGAAAACTGAAGCTTTATTGTACTGTGAAGAGATTTGTGGCTGATTCAGAACAAAGATGGGTTTGTGCAGATAAAGGCACAATGAGGAAGGTTTCTGTTAGACAAATTCATCGGATGAAGAGAGCAGCTGTTGAAATGTCCTTACGAAGCAGCAAACAGTTATTTAAAGCTGCTGGTGAAACCTGAAGGTGGAGGATCCTCCAGAGGCTTGCTGTGCATGAACCGACTATTCGGCCAATCCTGACCAGGCTCACAAACAGAAACGGTCACAGTGGACCCAGCCGTACATGAAGATTACTTTTCAAACAGACTTGTTCACTGATGACTGCTGTGCAACCCTGGATGGTCCAGACGGATGCAGAGATTATCCACAAACTCACAAGTTCAATGGATGCAAGAATTGTGCAGGTGATATAAAGAAGGGTCCTACGTTAACATGTAACTCTGTCTGTTAAGATGTTTTTGATTGAAATGGCTTTTGATTTTATTAAATGTGACCACTTAATGCTGCACATTCAAAGAATGACTGCAGCTCTTTATAATCCATAAAATGTTTAGAAAAAATGCTGTGCAATAATAATTTGGAACAGTGGATTTTAAGTTATTTATTTTTGAAAGAAATATTGTTCTCATTGGGAGGTTTGTTCAGTAATATTTGATTTATACTGTAATAGTTCATGACTTGAAAATTATACTGACCATCATTTGCAATGACCGTTTAAGAAAATCGGAGAAAATATCAGTTGCATAATAATTTGGAACATGGTGTAATCCTAGTAGTTGGATATTAAAACACAATGATGAAAACAGAACAAAGAAATCAACAACTAACAGAGAAATATACAGACTTTCAGAATTGGTCCACTAAACTTTAAACCACTCACTCATTATGCTCTTTTATGACCAGCAGTTCTAGAACTACAGCGTATGAAGTTCATCATTTACATGGTTGTTGAAGAAGAGTTTATTTACTCAGGAAACTTTTGGCTTCAATGTATCGTGCTCATACTACAAGTCTAACAAAAGTAACACCTTTCTCTAAATGTTGGTACGCTTGGTGTGGCTCAACTGTCATTTAAATAAATATACACAAAAAGACCAAAACCCACAAAGATTTCTTAAAAGTTAGATTTAGGACTGAAAAATTATGGTTGTGGTACTGTGTAAAAATATCCACAATTGTCGAGAAGATTCGAACACTTAACAGTCTGGTTTGTTGCGTGATTGAAATGCGAGCTTTTCTCTTCACATCCTGTAACAAACAGATAGCTGAGGTGACCAAAGTACCTGTGGTTTTTTTAACTGCCTCTCTCTCGCTCAGTTTAAATGTGTTTCGTTTCTGTTCCTGTGAGAACTTTCAGAGATGCTGTCAGTCAGAGACACAGGAAACATGAAGTTAATCGTCTAAAAGTCGTTCATCTCTCTGCACATAGTTTGGAAAACAAATATTTTTTCATTTATTTAAGACTGCAAAAGTTGCATTACATTAAAAACCTTTAACATTAAAATTGTGTTCCAAATCATCTATAAATATCTGGTGTTTTAATAACTTTCTTTAATGCAAACCTTTTCATGCCAGGGTGGCAGCATCAAAGTCAGTGACAAACTGAATAAATTGCTGAAGACGTTTGTTGCACTCTGCACTGGACTTCCTGGAGTTATGAGTGAAAAGATGAAGGTGCTTGACAAGTTAAAAACATCTTTTCATCTTCAATAAAATGTACCAATTAACCAACGGTGACTTCAGCTCAATGCAGCTGCAGCTCTGTGGTAAAAGCAGCAGAGCTGCTCCTTCCTGCCCTCTGCACTGCAGCCTGGTACAATGAAGAGTTTTTAGTGTTTTGGGAAAGTTTTCTTTACAATAAAATGGTTCAGATTTGAATTATTTGTATATAAAATATATTTTCTCTGATGTAATGTAGGAGAATATTGGGGAGAAAGCCAAATAAACCTATTCTAATTTAGTTACTTTTACAAGCAACATCCAAACACATTTAATAAAATGTTCATCTGTGAGTCATTCTACTGCAGATACAACATATTTATGGAGTGACCTCTGCTAAGCACATCCTGTGAGTCCTGAACTGGACCCCTGCTTGTCTTAAGAACTCTCCTCATTTTTACTCAGAGAATTTTGCCCACAAAGATATGATAGCATCATCAGCAACAATAATCAAAAAGTTATGGAGTCTAGAAACCTGGTGATTTTATCAGTTTTTAAAAGAACTGCTACCATGTTTCATAATATGCTGTGTTTCAGATCTGAAGAAACTTTCCCCCCTTACGCTGTGATGAAACAGTCCAGCCCTTCGTCAGAGTATGAAATATTAACCACCACCTCTGCGTTTCAGTCATCTTGTGGGACCTTTGAAAAGAAACAAAGCCCCAAATGGAAACTCTCCTGTCTGAGTGAAGAACTGATGTTTTCCACCACCTTTGTTCTTGCAGTTTTCTTTGTGGGCTTTGTGTGTTCCTCATGTTTATGAGTGAGCACCTCCAGTACAAAAACATTAATGCATGATTAATTTAAGGTTTTTAACTGGGCAGATACATACACAACCACTCGTTAAAACCTAAACTGATAACATGAATAAAATTATTTAAAGATGCACAAGTTTGCACTCTTGTTGGGAAAAGTCTGCTTACTTTTAGAGCCATTCACTGTCATGTCAGGAGTGTTTTTGATAGATTAAATAAACTTACATGATTTATAACAGATAACAGATGATTTATGGTGAAGAGCTAACTGCTGTGGTGGTCAACCTGCTGTGGTGGTCAACCTGCTGTGGTGGTCAACCTGCTGTGGTGGTCAACCTGCTGTGGTGGTCAACCTGACAGGACTCAAAATAAGTCAGTCTGGAGAAGGATGAAGGTTTTGAAGCCATTTCCCAGCACAAGTTAGAGCTGACCTGAATGAAACTAATGTACTAATTCCTGCTCATGTGTCTGACCTGGATAACAGAATGGATTATTTACATTTTAAGGGTAAAATTTTAGACTTCAGGAGAGTCCACTCCTCCAGGAAGACATAATTTTCAATAGTTAAGAGTCCAGATAGTGTAGGACATAGGCCTGGATTTTACCTGACCAGGTATGGTATCTCTGTGATAAATGCTTACAAATAGCTAAGATTATACGTTGTGGCAAAAAGCAACCTGCTGCAAACCCAGTATCCTGACGGCATGGTGCAGATCTGTGCTACCAGCAACATGGATTTGGGTTTCACAGTTTGGTAGAAGTGCACTGTGAGATCCTGGATGCTAAAACTTGTTGGCCAAAAATCAGTTTGATCTGCTGGGAAAATCTATTTACTGCTTGAGTTTCAAGAGATGTGGATTTTCTATAACTGAAGGAAGACGAATCCATATAAAAATACTATGAACGAATGAAGTGATGTAGCAACTTAGAAAGGGCTATTCTGGTCATTGTTCATTAGACATGTTGTTTTATGTTTCTGTCTAATGGGGACATTTTGTGACATTAAATATGTGCACCTTTGCTCTGCTGAAGTTAAATACTCTCACTATTTCTGTGTTGTGTTCCACATTTTTCTGAAAATGAGTATTGATCAACATAACATAAAGCTACACACAATCTTAGCTTTTAACTCATTCTCTGACTGCAGCCAAAAATAAAGCTAACCTGTAGCTTAGAGTTGCACTCAACACCATAAGGTGTTTCTGCTTCCTTGACTCAGATCGCTCCACTTAAAAGGAAGGACAACATAAAGCCAACCATCTGTCTGCAGGTCCATCTCAACCACAACGGTCAGCATCAAATCCCCGTGAGGCTGGTAAGCATTTAAAAAAATTAGAATCCATGTAAATGAAACTCAGACATACTGTAGAATTTGAAGAGGTCTCACTGAACTTTATTTTGCTAAATATTTAAAATCAATAATCAAATTGCCGGGTTTTCTTTGTCAAATTACAGAAGCCTAATCTTCTTCTTCTACTTTCATTTTTATTTTATGCACATATTTAGAGAATTTCTTCAGAATGATGATGTGTGATGACTTTCAAATATTTATGTGTTTTTCACAGGAACAATGATAGCTGTCTTCATACTTTTTGCTGCTTTTGTTGCATCCGCTCTGGCAAAAGGTATTTTTCAGTCCAGTTCTTAACCATATCGTAAGCATAGCATTTGGTAATTGATTTTTAAAAAAATAAAATAATTCTTGGATAAAGAATAAAAACTTTTAATTTTGCATGTTCATATGGAATTATGCTTCCAATTTTGTTTCTCTAATTTAACCATATGTATCCAAATATTTTCAATAAATTTGTATTATAGTGGAAGTCCATTTATTTCAGTAACTCGGTAAAGTAAAACACTTACGGATTAGTTATTCACAGGATGATATTTTCTGAGTCCTACTTCTGTTGACTATGACTATTTTTAAGTTGCAGCTAATGAAAATGTGAGATATATGATTAGAATAATTGGGAAAGACATTTTAAATGGGGGTTAATGAAAAGTATGTTTATTATTTGAAACATAATTATT